CAGCACCGGGCCCAGGGGCGGTGTGGCTCAGCGCGAGGCGTTTGGGCTCGTCCACGGGTCCTGGACGCTGCCCGCGGGCCCTCGGCACGGCCCGCACAGCGCCCAGCGGCGGCGGCGGCTCTGCAGCCGGCGGTGACCGCGAGGTGGCGGTGCCGGCTCAGACATCGGCGCCTGGGCGGCGGCTGCACCTGCGGGAGTGCCGGGTGTTGCCGCGCCGGGTCCCTGGTCGGCACGCCGTGTCCCACGTCCTCCTGCGTGGTGTCTGGGTTTGACCACGAAGTCTCCCGGGTCGGCCATGGCCAGTCTCCCGGGGTGCACAGGGCCGTCAGGGAGACGGCGCCCGTCTGAGTCCCCCGGCCGCGCACTGAAGGTGGGGAGCAGAGGAAACTCTCGGGGCCATGAGGGTCCCCACGCGTGAAGACTCTCCCCACAGCGCCTTCAGCAGCACTTGGTCCTGGGGTGCCCCGTGCAGCAGGGAAAGAACTGACGGTCCTCCACTTGCTTTGGGCGCGGCCTCCAGTGCTGGTCACAGCCCAGAATGTGCCGGATCCGTGTGTGGAGACAGCCGTGGCCGCGACGTGGCAGCCAGCAGTCACACGTGGTGTGGCGGCAGAAGTTGGGGTTCACCGGCTCCGCCCCAATTCCACACGGGCCTGAGACAGTGTCCACAATGGACATCTGGGAAGTGGGGGACTCATCCGGTCCCCCGAAAGCCCAGGACCGGGCCATCCCCGCAGCCCCACGACCACGGCCTCACCCCTGTGGCACTCAGCACCGTGGCGTGGGACTGGCACCTTCCACGTGATGAAGGACACGTGCTGCCTCGTCCTGGGCTGAGCCTGCCCCCAGCTCTGGGCTCTGGTCGCCCTGCTCCTGCCTCCCAGGGGAGGACCAGAGCCTGGGGCTGAGGACCATTAGCATCTCCATTCTCAGGTGATTGAGATGCTGAAGGCCTGGGCGTGCCGCCGCCTCCCTCTGCCTAAGGCACAGCCGCCCAGGGTCTTGGGTGTCATTGAAGGTTGGGGTTCCTGAGGGGCCAGCGTGCTGAGGTGATGCGGTCACTCACCTCCCACTCTAGGGTCTGTGCATGGAATCCCCACGTCCGCTAGAACCGTGGCCCCCAGGCCAGGAAGATGGGTGACACTGGGAATTGGGTCCTGGGTGACGAGGGCAGGACAACCAGCCGACCGCACTCGCCTGCGGCAGCACCGGGCCCAGGGGCGGTGTGGCTCAGCGCGAGGCGTTTGGGCTCGTCCACGGGTCCTGGACGCTGCCCGCGGGCCCTCGGCACGGCCCGCACAGCGCCCAGCGGCGGCGGCGGCTCTGCAGCCGGCGGTGACCGCGAGGTGGCGGTGCCGGCTCAGACATCGGCGCCTGGGCGGCGGCTGCACCTGCGGGAGTGCCGGGTGTTGCCGCGCCGGGTCCCTGGTCGGCACGCCGTGTCCCACGTCCTCCTGCGTGGTGTCTGGGTTTGACCACGAAGTCTCCCGGGTCGGCCATGGCCAGTCTCCCGGGGTGCACAGGGCCGTCAGGGAGACGGCGCCCGTCTGAGTCCCCCGGCCGCGCACTGAAGGTGGGGAGCAGAGGAAACTCTCGGGGCCATGAGGGTCCCCACGCGTGAAGACTCTCCCCACAGCGCCTTCAGCAGCACTTGGTCCTGGGGTGCCCCGTGCAGCAGGGAAAGAACTGACGGTCCTCCACTTGCTTTGGGCGCGGCCTCCAGTGCTGGTCACAGCCCAGAATGTGCCGGATCCGTGTGTGGAGACAGCCGTGGCCGCGACGTGGCAGCCAGCAGTCACACGTGGTGTGGCGGCAGAAGTTGGGGTTCACCGGCTCCGCCCCAATTCCACACGGGCCTGAGACAGTGTCCACATGGACATCTGGGAAGTGGGGGACTCATCCGGTCCCCCGAAAGCCCAGGACCGGGCCATCCCCGCAGCCCCACGACCACGGCCTCACCCCTGTGGCACTCAGCACCGTGGCGTGGGACTGGCACCTTCCACGCGATGAAGGACACGTGCTGCCTCGTCCTGGGCTGAGCCTGCCCCCAGCTCTGGGCTCTGGTCGCCCTGCTCCTGCCTCCCAGGGGAGGACCAGAGCCTGGGGCTGAGGACCATTAGCATCTCCATTCTCAGGTGATTGAGATGCTGAAGGCCTGGGCGTGCCGCCGCCTCCCTCTGCCTAAGGCAGCAGCCGCCCAGGGTCTTGGGTGTCATTGAAGGTTGGGGTTCCTGAGGGGCCAGCGTGCTGAGGTGATGCGGTCACTCACCTCCCACTCTAGGGTCTGTGCATGGAAACCCCACGTCCGCTAGAACCGTGGCCCCCAGGCCAGGAAGATGGGTGACACTGGGAATTGGGTCCTGGGTGACGAGGGCAGGACAACCAGCCGACCGCACTCGCCTGTGGCAGCACCGGGCCCGGGGGCGGCGTGGCTCAGCTTGAGGCGTTTGGGCTCGTCCACGGATCCTGGACGCTGCCCGCGGGCCCTCGGCACGGCCCGCACAGCGCACAGCGCCCGGCGGCGGCGGCTCTGCAGCCGGCGGTGACCGCGAGGTGGCGGTGCCGGCTCAGACATCGGCGCCCGGGCGGCGGCTGCGCCCGCGGGACGTGCCGGGTGTTGCCGCACCGGGTCCGCGGTCGGCACGCCGTGTCCCCCGACCTCCCACAAAGGTCCTGGGTGGTCCCCTCGTGTCCCCCGCGCAGCGTCCCCTCTGCCCACAGTGTCCGGGGTTCGCCCGCGTGGCCTCCCGGCTCTCCTGTGCTGTGTATGGTGCGAGGTCCCGGTGCCCTCACACGTGGTGCCGTGTGGCTGATGAGAGTCGTCAGGGAGACGGGGTGCCTGTGAGCCCCCAGGACTCCCCGTCTGCGTCAGGGCCGGCTAAGGGGGCGCCGGGAGGACGCGGCGATACTTAGGCGACCGCCCCCGCCTGAGCGATCTTGACCGGGTGTGGTGAACTGGTGTCCACGGAGACCCTCCCACAGGCCGCTCGTGGCACAGGGTCTTGGGGTGCTCCATCCAGCACCCAAGAATCTCAGGATCCTCTACTCTCTTTGGGTGAAGTTCCCAAAGTGGACTGTAGCCCTGAATGTGCCGGATCAGCTGTGTGTGTATAGACAGCCATGGCAGCGAGATGGCAACCGTGAATCACACGTGGCGTGGCGGCAAAAGTTGGGGTTCAGTGGCGCTGGGACCCAGGTCTGACCAGGCCTAATATTCAGTCTCCACGAGAGGCATCCGGGAAGTGGGGCACTCATCCGGTCCCCCTAAAGCCCAGGACCGGGCCATCCCGGCAGCCCCACGGCCACGGCCTCACCCCCGTGGCACTCAGCGCCCTGGCGTGGAACTGGCACCTTCCACGCGATGAAGGACACGTGCTGCCTCGTCCTGGGCTGAGCCAGCCCCCAGCTAGGGCTCTGGTCGCCCTGCTCCTGCCTCCCTGGGGAGGACCAGAGCCTGGGGCTGAGGGCCATTAGCATCTCCATTCTCAGGTGATTGAGATGCTGAAGGCCTGGGCGTGCCGCCTCCTCTCTCTGCCACAGGCGCAGCCGCCCAGGTGGGCGCACCCGACCCCAGGGTCCTGGGGTGTCATTGAAGGTTGGGGTTCCTGAGGGCCCAGTGTGCTGAGGGGGTGCAGCCCCTCGCCCCACGCTCTGGGGTCTGTGTGTGGAATCCCCACGGCATCCGAGAGCCGTGGCTGCGTGGCCCCCAGGCCGGGGCGATGGGTGACACCGGGAACCGGGGCCGTGTCCTGGGTGACGTGGGCAGGACAGAGCCGCGTGGCGGGAGCCCGAGCTCACCGGGAGCGACTGCACTCGCCTGCGGCAGCACCGGACCCGGGGCGGCGTGGCTCAGCGCGAGGCGTTTGGGCTCGTCCACGGGTCCTGGACGCTGCCCGCGGGCCCTCGGCACGGCCCGCACAGCGCCCAGCGGCGGCGGCGGCTCTGCAGCCGGCGGTGACCGCGAGGTGGCGGTGCCGGCTCAGACATCGGCGCCCGGGCGGCGGCTGCGCCCGCGGGAGTGCCGGGTGTTGCCGCGCCGGGTCCCCGGTCGGCAAGCCGTGTCCCACGTCCTCCGGCGTGGTGTCCGGATTCGACCACGAAGTCTCCCGGGTCGGCCATGGCCAGTCTCCCGGGGTGCGCAGGGCCGTCAGGGAGACGGCGCCCGTCTGAGCCCCCGGCCGCGCACTGAAGGTGGGGAGCAGAGGAAACTCTCTGGGCCATGAGGGTCCCCACGTGTGACGGACGTGGCGCTCGGCCAAAAGGAGAGACACTCCCCACAGCCCCACTGGTGGCACTTGGTCGTGGGGTGCCCAGTCCAGGGCAGCAGTATCTCAGGGTCCTTCACTTTGGACGCAAACCCCAATGTGGACCGCAGCCCAGAATGTGCCGGATCAGTGTGTGTGTGGAGACAGCCGTAGCCACGAGGTGGCAGCCGAAATCACACGTGGCGGCAAAAGTTGGGGTTCACCGGCTCCGCCCCAATTCCACACGGGCCTGAGACAGTGTCCACATGGACATCCGGGAAGTGGGGGACTCATCCGGTCCCCCTAAAGCCCAGGACCGGGCCATCCCGGCAGCCCCACGGCCACGGCCTCACCCCGTGGCACTCAGCACCGTGGCGTGGGACTGGCACCTTCCACGCGATGAAGGACACGAGTCACCTTGTCCTGGGCTGAGCCCGCCCCCAGCTTTGGGCTCTGGTCGCCCTGCTCCTGCCTCCCTGGGGAGGACCAGCGCCTGGGGCTGAGGGCCATTAGCATCTCCATTCTCAGGTGATTGAGATGCTGAAGGCCTGGGCGTGCCACCTCCTCCCTCTGCCTAAGGCGCAGCCGCCCATGTGGGCGCACCCGACCGGGGTCCTGGGGTGTCATTGAAGGTTGGGGTTCCTGAGGGGCCAGTGTGCTGAGGGGGTGCAGCCCCTCGCCCCGCGCTCTGGGGTCTGTGCGTGGAATCCCCACGGCACCCGAGAGCCGTGGCTACGTGGCCCCAAGGCCGGGGAGATGGGTGACACTGGGAATCGGGGTCCTGGACGCTGTCCGCGGGCCCTCGGCACGGCCCACACGGCGCCCGGCGGCGGCGGCTCTGCAGCCGGCGGTGACCGCGAGGTGGCGGTGCCGGCTCAGACATCGGCGCCCGGGCGGCGGCTGCGCCCGCGGGACCTGCCGGTTGTTGCCGCACCGGGTCCCCGGGCGGCACGCCGTGTCCCCCAACCTCCCGCAAAGGTCCTGCGTGGTCCCCCCGTGTCCCCCGCGCAGCGTCCCCTCTGCCCACAGTGTCCGGGGTTCGCCCGCGTGGCCTCCCGGCTCTCCCGTGCCGTGTATGGTGCGAGGTCCCGGTGCCCTCACACGTGGTGCCGTGTGGCTGATGAGAGTCGTCAGGGAGACGGGGTGCCTGTGAGCCCCCAGGACTCCCCGTCTGCGTCAGGGCCGGCTAAGGGGGCGCCGGGAGGACGCGGCGATACTTAGGCGACCGCCCCGCCTGAGCGATCCCGGTCGGGTGCGGTGAACTCAGTGTCCACGGAGACCCTCCCACGGGCCGCTCGTGGCACAGGGTCCTGGGGGCTGCACTTCTGAGCACAGGATTTGGGGTCCCCCCGGGTGTGGGCGCCCACCCCTGAGTGGATCGCCGCTTTGCCTGGGCACATCCGTGGCGGCTGTGGTGCCGCCGTGGCCGCGAGGTGGCAGCACCGGCCGCGGCTCCCGGTTAGGATCCTCTGACTTAGGGGAAACTGTGGGGATCGTCCTCGTCCTCAAGTCCAAGTCCACGCTTGTCTAAGTCTGGGGTTTTCTGTAGTGAAATCCCGGGTTCACCGGTGACAAAGGCTGGGGTCGGGCAGGGTTTGGCTGGCGGCACCCCCACTTCCCGGGAGGTCCGCAGAGGTTCCCCTCGGGTCCCCTGAGTCCTGGTGTCCTGCCCGTGAGACTCTCTCCGTGGTGTCCACGCCGCGACGTGGCGGGCACCACACGTGGACTCACGACCCCACCCCAGCCACACGGTCACGGGCGCTCCGTGCTCGGCACAGCCAGGCGGCCGGTGGCGGCGGCGGCGGCGGGACTCAGCTCGGCTCTTTGTTCTGTTCCTGAACCGGCGGCTGAGCCGCGGGCGGGAGGGCGGGAGAGTGTGAGCAATGGGGACAGAGCCGTGAGCTACGGGGGGCATCCCGGGTGTGCATGTCCACAGGGGGTGTGTGTGGGGGGGACCCTCAGTGAGAGCCTGCCCCGTGGCAGTGCCACGGTAGCCAAAACCACGCCAGGGAGCCGCCGCGTGAGCGGTGACGGCTGTCCACCGGCCCGCGGAGCCGCTGCTGCCCACTGAGCCCTGACCCCCGCCACCACTCCCCACCGCCCGAACCCGGGACCCCAGGGCGTGGGGGCGAGCGTGTGGTCTTAACACGGCGGCGGCCACGCGGCTGCCGGTGCCACCCACGTCCGCGGGCTCCGCCGGGAACCCGTGCCAGAGCGTGGCGCCCACCCAGGCGGCGGTGGGAGCGGGCCGCGGTCGGCCCTGCGGGAGCCTGTCTCACGGGGGGGGGGTGTTGGCGGGGTGGCGGGGTGGGGACAATGCCAAGCCTGTGTGGCTGCCAGGGGAGGGGCGCGAGCTGTCTTTGGAGAATTTCGATGGGGTGAGGTACGTGCGCTGGACCGCCCCAGCCCGGAGGTGGGCCTGGCGGCGCCCCAAGGACGGTCTCCGCTCTGATTGGCCGGTGCGGCTGGGGCGGGAATTCTGGGCGGGGCCGGCCGCATTAGAAAAAGCCCGGGCTAGGGTCCGGGACAGGGGTGGGTGGGGGTGGGGGTATGGGTGTGATGGGGAAGCCCGGGGGAAACTGGGGGAACTGGGGAAGCGGGGGAGCCGAGGGGTAACCAGGGAAGCGGGGAGCCGGGGCAACCAGGGGAAGATGGGGAGCGCGGGTGGGAAGATTGCTTGGGGCCAAGGATCACCTTGGACTTCTGGAGCCTGGCAGGAGCGGCGCTGAGGGCCGGCGGGCCCGGACACGCCGCGGAGAGCGCGGCGTGGGGGTGAAGGGGCCGCCGGGGAGCGGAGCGAGAGGGGGGAGCCAGGCATTCATCCCGGTCACTTTTGGTTTCAGGACGTGGCGGCTGGTGGACACGGGGAGCAGGACACGCAGCGGGGGCGCCGGGCCTGGGCCCAGGAGTAGCCGGCAGCCACGGCAGCGGAGGACGGCGCTCTGCCGGGCAGGTGAGCCCCTTCCCCTCGCGGCCGCGCCGCCCCGGCCTCCTCCGACCACGAGGAGGCCCCGGGGCGCGAGGACTGCGGCGGGAAGCGGCCGCCGCCCGGCAGAGCGGCAGGAGACAGGCAGACGGTAGCACGGTGACATCGGTCTCGGGGGTTGCCGAGACGGCGCGGGCCGGGGGGCCTTGTGCCCGCCCGGGGCGGAGCGCGCTGACGAGGGCAGAGCGAGTCGAGGGGGCTGCCGGCGAGGGAGAGGACAGAGGGCCGCAGGAGCCCACCACCTGCACGGACACCCAGGCCCGGTCACACTAGGACAGGATGAGCCGGGGGCACACTCAGCAGGGTCCCCAGCCGCTACTTCACCCACTGTAACCCACTCAGGAGAAGGCGCAGGAGCGGCTCCGGGGCCGGCACCGCGGCCGCCGGAGCCTCGAGGGCAGGAGAGCGGGACGAGGGCGCAGTGCCGAGGGGCGTCACCGGGGGCACGGCGGGCGGGCGCCAGAGATTTCTGCGGCGAGGAGGCTGCGGGCCCGCCTGGCGCCGTGCCCGCGTGGCACTGCACCGGGGGCCGCGCAGGGAGACACTGGTCCCCGCGCGGCCCCCGGGAGGGGAGGAACACGACAGTCAGCATCCAGGGGAGTCAAGGACGCAGGCAGGACCAGACTTGGCGAGGCGGGCAGGGCGGCGTGAGTGCGAGAGGCGGGGAGATACGGGCACAGGCAGGGGCGTGGCGCAGCGGCCTGGCGGCGACCGAGCGGGCGATGAGGCGGCGCTGGCTCCGGAGCCGTGGCCACGGCGGGCCGCGGCGAGGACGGAGCGGAGATCGGCGTCTCCTCCGCGTTCGAGCGGAGACCAGGTGAGCATCCCGCCCGCCCGCCCTCCGGCCCCTCCTCCCCGTGGCCCGTGGCCAGCGCTGACCCGCGCCCTCTGCTCTCTCCAGCCAGGTCTCCGTGGGGGCGGCAGCGTGCCAGCCGGCGTGGCCGGGCGCCAGGAGGCGCAGAGCGACATGACATGGTCCGGTGAGACGAGAAGAGGGCGGAGCGCCCGGCCGCCCAGGTCAGTGCAGGTGCGGGGCGAGGCTCCCGGCCCTCAGCGGTGTCACCTCACGCCTGACCTGTCTCTCTTCTCCCGCAGAACACCGTGGCCCGCGCCCACCGGGGACCGCAGCGCCCAGCTGGTCTCTGTCCTTTGCTTTCCGGAAGGAGCCCACACACAACTCACCCTTCGGGACCTCAGAACCCTCCAGATGACAAGGTGAGCCCCCGCCCCCTGCGCCCCGCGCCCCCCTCCCTGCCTGGGCAGGTGGCACCGGGCCAGGCCTGGCACTCATCCCGCCCCGCCCCCGCTCTCCCCGCAGAAATGGTGCTACCCAGCTCACGCCTGGGCCTCGGACCCCGGACTTCTTCAAGTCCCTCTAGCTCTGACTCGAGAATATGCTGCACTTGGAACCACTACACACCCCGTCTCAGGAACCAGCTCCGAAGGTGAGCGCGGGCACTCCTCTCCGGAAGCTTCCGCCCACCCAGCCCCGCCGGCCCCACCCTCACGCCCCGTCTTCTCTCTTCTCCGCCCGCAGGTTAAGCCAAAGGACTCAGATCGGCGACACCAGCACCACCGGAAGCGAGCAGCCCCCGCGGCAGCACGGCCCCCACGGCCATCCCACCATCTCGGCCGCGCCCCAGCCCGGGCTGGAGACCACCCCAGCCGCCCGCCACCAGCACCCCCCTCTCTTCTTTCTTCCGACTTTCCTGTCTCTGTTTTCTCCTTCTTTCTTTCTCTCTGTCCTGGCTCAGCAGCCCAGCACCGGGACTCCGCGTCCCCCAAACCCCTGATTAATTTGCACTATGAGTCGTTTGCACTGGTTTGGGGTCCCGGGACCGCCTGAGCCTCTGAGCGTGTGCGTGAGCGTGTGCGTGAGCGTGTGCGTGACCACTGCCGAGTGTGCCGGCCCCCTCGGGCCGGGCCGCCCCAGCCCCCGCCCTCCGTCACTGGGGGCGCTGGGCGCGGCCGAGTGCGTGGGGCCCTGCCCCCCCTCGCCCAGTCTGGAGGCTCCGCCCACAGGAGCCCCTCTTGCCTGTGTCCCTCCTCACCGGCTTCACCAGAAGCCGGGCTTCATCAATAAATCCGTTACAGCATTTGGTCTCCGCGTCTGCCGTGCGCCGTGGGTGTGGGTGGGGGCACAGGGGAAACATGCGAGAACATGAGAAAACATGAGAGGTGGGGGGGTGCACAGAGGGGTGGCTGGGACCCCTCACAGAGGGGTGGGTGGGACTCCTCGAGGCTGAGGGACCAGGGGTCCCTGCAGGGAGGGGTGGGGCTGGGGCTGGTGAAAATAAGGGGGTGCTCAGTCATAAGAGTGCCCCCCGCCGAGTCTCTTGAAGCCATACAAGTGAAGAGAAGGGGGTGCTCAGTCATAAGAGTGCCCCCCGCCCCCCCTGAGTCTCTTGAAGCCATACAAGTGAAGAAGGGGGTGCTCAGTCATAAGAGCGCCCCCCGCCCCCCAGTCTCTTGAAGCCATACAAGTGCCTGGTGGGCGACACCCCAGGCCTCCCTCCCCCACCCCCAGATCCTGATGGCCTGGGCTGGGGGTTGGTGTGTGGACTCCTCTTAGGGCCGTGGGCTCGGTGGGGATGGGGGTGGGGTGGGGGGCTCGAGCTCACAGGCACACAGAGCTGTCCCTCCCCCTCGCTCTGCGGTGGGGAGCTGGGGGTTGGGGGCATAAAGCAGACATGAGGTTCTGCTCAGCAGCCTGAGGCCCGGGCTGGGGGAGCTGCTGGCTCCGCAGCCAGGGGACAGCCAGCCAAGCAGAGAGGGGGCAGGGGAGGGAGGGGGAGGAGGCAGGCCCGCGGAGGCGAGAGGCCTGGGAGGGGAGGCAGCGAGCAGGCGGGAGAGGGAACAGGCGGGGGAGGGAGGCCAGCAGAGGGGTGGCGAGTGAAGAGAGGGGAGGAGGGGAAGAGGGGGGATGGGACAGGGCAGTGAGGGGTACCAGGGGGTGAGGAAGCTGAGGGTCTCACACTGAGGCCCTGGGATGGGGGTGACGCAGCCCCCGCCCTGGGCCCGGCTGGGGCCTCTGGCCGGGCCGGCGGGCTCTCTGCTCCCAGCCGGGCCTCCGGGCTGGGGCCCCGCGGGGGCAGCGCGGGAACAGGAGGAAGCAGCTGTTGGGAATGAGCCTGGGGTCCCAGGCCCCTCCGGTGCCAGGAAATGCCTCCGCTCAGATAAAGGCTGATAGGAAGGCCTGGGAACCCCTTCCCCGGCCCTTCCGCCCAGGATGCAGGGGCCTGGGAAACCCACCCCACCCCGGCCACCCAGGCTGGGCCATCCTGCTCCCACCCCCGTGCACAGGGCAAAGGCCACTCAGAGAGGCCCGGCCGAGGCCCTGGTCCCCCGTCCCCAGAGGCTGTCGTGGGGCCAGCCCCCACCCCGACGGGCTTTGTGGGCGAGGACCCCATCCACTCGCTGCCAGCGTCAGGCCTGCACAGGGCCGTGGCACAGCGGGCTGCCGGCGGCGGTGGGGGCAGCCTGGGCACCTCAAGGGCAGCCCCCTGGGGTTGGGACGGAGCGAGGGGAGACAGGAACACTGGGGATCGGGGCCCTGGGAAGGGTGCTGGCCCTCGGGGTCATGGAGTTGGCAGGGCCATGTCACAGACACACACCACGTCACGGACACACACACGCCACATCGCGGTCACACTCTGGGCTTCCCCCAGCGTGTCCGTGTGTCCCTGTGTCTGCCTGTACTCATAAAGTCCGGCACAAAGGCCTCTGCGAAAGGTGCAAAGGCCTCTGGGATATGGCTAGAGGGGGTGCCGAGGTCCCCAGTGTCCCCCCACCTCCCCTACTGGACGCACCCTGGGCGGCCATGCTGGCCTCTGCTTCTGGGGGTTCAGGCGGTGGGACCTGGGGGGACGGGGCGCCTGGGGAACCCTGGGGCTGAGGGGGGGCACAGGCCACGCCGAGCTGAGCTGCTGCAGGCTGAGCCCTGCCCCGCGGCCGGAGCAGCCCTGCTCCCCTCCCCCGTGGAGCCTCGGAGCCTGGAGGAGGAGGGGGCCCGGCTGGAATGTGTTTACCTTCGGCCCAGCCCGGTTTCCTGCTTTTGAGAAAGGGGCTTAGAGAGGCTGTTAGGCGGGCTCCTGCCCCCCACCCCCGCACGTTCAAAGCGCCCCGCGCTGAGTGAAGTGTCACCGAGCAAACAGGGGCTTGAATTTCACTCCCAGCCCGCCGGCCGGCGGTGTGGGGGCAGGGGCGGAGGGGGCTGGGGCGGTGGGGGCTGGGGCGGTGGGGGCTGGGGCGGAGGGGGCTGGGGCGGTGGGGGCTGGGGCGGAGGGGGCTGGGGCGGTGGGGGCTGGGGCGGAGGGGGCTGGGGCGGAGGGGGCAGGGAAGGGGGCTGGGGCGGTGGGGGCTGGGGCCAGGGGAGGGGGCAGGAGCCAGGGGTGGGGGCTGGGGCGGTGAAGGCTGGGGCGGTGGGGGCCGGGGGAGGGGCAGGGACCAGCGGAGGGGGCAGGGGTGGTTGGGGCCTGGAAGGTGGGGGCAGGGGCTGGGGCCGGAGGGCAGGAGTCTGAGAGGCCCTGGGAAGGTGGTGAGGGGGCAGTGCCAGGCGCCATGCCCCCCCCCCCCCCCCGGGACCCTGCACAAAGCCCAGGTGCTCACTGGGTCCCCCAGGCCGCGCGAGGGGGAGGCCGAGGGGCCAGGCCACCCTGTTTCCAGACACAGGATTGACGCCCGTGTGTCCCTGTGTCCCTGTGTCCATGTGCAGTCATATCTGCGTGCTCACATGTGCCTCTGTGTGTGTGCCCTGTGTGTCCAAGAGTGTGTACACGTGTGTGTCTGCCCTGTGCACCCAGGTGTCTGTGCAACCCTGTTCGTTCACATGTGCACCTGCTTGTTTCCATGTGTGTCCACGTGTGCCTGTGTATTCCTATGTGTTCACATGTCTCTCTGTGTGCCCACGTGTGTCTCTGTAATCCTGTAGATTCGTGTGTGTGTGTCTGCACATGTCCCTTTGTGTGTCTGTGTACCCACATGCATTCATGTGTGTGTCCTCGTGTACTCCTGTGTGGCCACACGTGTCTATGTGTGTCTGGGTGTGGCTGTGTATCCATCTGTGTTTACATGTCTGTGTCTGTATATGTCTTTGTGTCCCTGTGTTCCATAGCCTAATGTGTGTCCTTATGTATCCCTGTGTTCACATGTGCTTATGCATGTCATGTGTGTCCGTGTGTGTCCGTGTGTGTTCGTGAGGCCCTGTGTAGTCACATGTGTGTCCTTGTGTGTGTCTGTTCTGTGTGTCCCCGTGGCCTGTGCACAGCCTCATGTCCTCCTGCCCTAGGGGGTATACACAGCATGTGGCTGTGGCCACGTGTGGGGTCTCTGAGCAGCTCTTTAACCCGCTGTCCGTCACGTGGACGGCAGGCACGGACGTGGGTCCTGTCTGCTCGTGGAGCCCGTGCTGACTGTGTGGCCCAGCCCGTGGTCCAGAGTCCCGGGAGGGTGGGCGTCAGCCTGGCCTGTGGGCCTCATGCCTTTGTGTGTCCACATCTGGGCCCGGATCTAATGGCCCAGAGCTTGCCCTCCGACTGGGGAGGGGGTACGGGGGCTGGTGGACGGGACCCTGCTGCCCGGCTGAACGGGGACAGTGGACACCTAACAATGGGAAGGAAATGCAATCCTGCCCATAGGCCTGGCGAGGCCTGTCCGGCACCAGGCGTCCCTCCCTGGAGCTGCAGGGGGTCTGAGTCCTGAGGGGAGGCAGAGGCCCAGGCCGGGCGCCTCAGCCACACGAGGCCAGAGCCCCAGCCACGGGTTCGAGCCCCAATCCGGTTCAGGCCAGTCCCCTCCCTCTCTCCCCTGACCCGTTGGCAGGGTCCACGCATGTGTCGGAGAGACAGAGTCCCCAATGGGGATGGAAGGTTCTAGAAGGAGGGCGGCAGGCTCTGGCGTTCTCTTGGCCTTGCTGACCACGCCAGCCAGGCCCAGGCTGCCCGTCCCTCCTGCCTGCCTGCTCTCCCCGCCGCCCCACTCCCCCTGCCCTGGACCTCTCCCCTCGGCCGCACCTGGGGCCCGGCCTGGCCCCCGTCCAGGTGGGGGCCGGCCCTTCCTGGAGGCCCACCTGCGGCCGGCCTGCTGGGAAGGGGCCGCGCGCCCCCCGCCCGGCGTTTCCTGGAAGCGACACTGAGGCCGCTCTGTTCGCTGTCAGCACCGTGCGGGCCGCACACACTGCGCCCTTGTCCGCCATCACCGGACACCTGGCCGGACACGGGCGGGAGCCGGGGGGCCGCGGAGCAGCCAGGGCCTGGGCTGGACCAGCAAACAGAGTGGGCGCCAGGCGAGGGGCCCTCGCCCCCGCTTCTGCCCGGCGCCTCCGCCTGCTCCCCACGCCGGCCCCACCCCGTGCCTTCCTCCCGGGGGCAGGGAGCACCGAGCAGACCTCAGGGTCAGGGGGCCCCGTGCAGACCTGGGGGCAGGGGGCGCTGTGCAGGCCGCAGGTCCGGGGGCACCAAGCAGGCTGAGGGGCAGGAGGCGCCGTGCAGACCTGGGGTCAGGGGGCTCCGTGCAGACCTGGGGTCAGGGGGCTCCGTGCAGACCTGGGGTCAGGGGGCGCTGTGCAGGCCGCATGTCTGGGGGCACCGTGCAGGCTGAGGGGCAGGGGGCACCTTGCAGACCTGGGGTCAGGGGGCTCCGTGCAGGCCGCAGGTCCGGGGGCACTGAGCAGACCTCGGGGTCTGGGGGCGCTGTGCAGGCCGCATGTCTGGGGGCACTGAGCAGACCTCAGGGTCTGGGGGCGCCGTGCAGACCTGGGGGGCAGGGGACGCTGTGCAGACCTGGGGGGGCAGGGGGCGCCGTGCAGACCTGGGGGGCAGGGGGCGCCTTGCAGGCCGCGGGGTCCGGAGGCTCGGCTGCAGGCTCCCAGGCCCTGCAGGAGCACATGCCTGGAGTCCGGGCGGTGGGAGTGGGGCTGGAGCCAGGCCGGGGGAGGGGTGGTGGTGTGTGTGGCAGGGAAGGGAGAAGCGGGCCCAGGCTCCCCCTGCTCGGGCCCCCCAGGGTTCAGGAGGGTGGGGGTGACATGCCGCAGCAGCTTGGAGCCTGTGGGTCTGGTATGCAGCCCCGAGGGTGGGTGGGAGGAGGGAGGAGGGCGGAT